ATAACCAAAAAAATTAAATTAATGCTAAATTTTCCCACATGGTCGTATGCCAAAAGACCCCTAACCGACCACTGTTCTATGATGATAATAACGTTGTAGTTTCCCATTCAGGAGAAGTTATATCAAATCAATCAATAACAAACTGGATTTACAGTAATACAGGGAGCAGCGGTACCGCCCCTCTTGAAATATACAGTATGAAAAGGATTTTGTTNCAACAGATTCAGAATAATGTAACACTTTGATTGTACGTGTTCATAACTTAAGAAGGATATACAGTTTGTTACTATTATATCGTAATAGTCAAATGATCAAATATTGCAAATAACAACTTTGTTTGTTGTTATTTTTCAAACAAATATACCGTGTTCATACAATTTGTTCTTATGCCGAGTGGTACACCNTGATTGTACGTGTTCAGAAGATATATACATGGGTACNTAATAACAACGTTAGGATCTTCCATAATAACGTTGTACTGTTATTACAGCAATTCTCTCTAGAAGTGATTTTAATATTTAAAAGTCATAAGTGGTATTTGCAATATTTGTTAGTCACACAATAGGCAAAATAACCGAACTAAACCAAAATCAAATTAATTCGTTTTTTTAACTGTGTAACGCAACGAAATTTCAACCAACCAAATCAAACCGGGATAAATAGAGAAAGGGATTGTTCGATCTGGCTGGATTTTATGGTTTTTAAAAAACAAAACTTATGGCTCATGGGTAAATTATTTATAGACCAAGACTACATAGAAGATATCGAAAAAGGAGTTGGCAATTTTCAATGTATCACTACACCGTCCAATTGCAACCAAGCGGAATTATTTGGTCAAAGGCGAAGAAAGAACAATACTCGAAGAAGAGTAAAAAGCACAAATCAATGTTCAACAACTTACCATGCATTCAAGAACTCGATAACACATCAAACGTGAAATTAATTATACTTTTATCCTTTATTCGAGTAGCTTCACCATCCTTGCCTCTGATTAATAACACGACCAAAAATGATTTGATCATAAGTAAAGCATTAAACATCATAAGAACAAATTTACCGATTGATAGACATCATAAAATCTAAAAGGATTCAGAAATGTAGTTTAATTTGTACTTCTTAGAGATAAGAGACTA